CATTAGGCTGGAGGTTATAATTAATTTCTTACATCTTTTCTGGGAAGCTGAAAGTCTAATGTTGCTAAAAATGTACAAAGGTCAGTTGTGAGATCCTTTGGTTCGCTGGCTTCAGCGATTCCTGTGAATTTCTGTGGCCAGCTAAAGAAATTCGACCTGCTGCAGAGCCTAATGATCCAGTTCTACACAGCGAGTCTGTCCTCACATCGACTCTGACCATCTGATTTGGTTCCTCCACCTCACAAGAATGAGCCAAACTGCAGCACATCATCAGGACAGCACAGAGGATCATGGGATGCATCTGGAACACTTCAGGACATCTACAACAGCAGAGTGCCGGCAAAACACCATCTGACCCCTCTCATCCTGGACATCAGCTCTTCCAGACACTCTGCTGGTCACTTTTGAGATCCAAAAACTGCATGTTTGTATATATTTTTGTTCATCTTTAGTCAATAGAATCATGATTATATTCTCCTGCAAGTATTAAAGCACCACTCTTGTTTCTTTGGTCAGTGTGGGATGGAACCAAGTTCTTGGAAAATTATATATATATATATATATATATATACATACACACACACAGGTTACAACTTGTGGAGTTTGATCTGGAACTGCCTTTTGGAATCATCTCTTCCTTAAGAAGCTCCCAAACATGAGCAGACACACAACGTGGGAATCTCAAAGACATATATTCAAAAAAAATAATTTGCTCTCATGTTCATGTGGCTTATTGGTAAACCTGCTGTGTGAGATCTGAGGGTTGTTGGTTCAAATCCTGCTTCAGGCCTTCTTTTGCATGTCTTCATGGTGAAGATGAGAAACACAAAGACAAATGTTTAAAAAAAACAAGCAGCTGTGAGATCTTGTGGCCGGCTGGTAGACATCATGCCTCCAAGATCAGGAGGCTGTTGGTTCAAGTCCGGTTCTCAGCTGACCGGTTGGTCAGTCGTGGCTTCATGCAGAACATCATCATGGCTCTAAGTGCTGCCACTGGAGATGATCAGTGGTGGCGGAGATGAAAACCAGAACACAGTCTGAGAAACATGTGCTGGTCTGTGGTGAACCGTCTCTACCTGCTGATAAACACAGAAACCAGTAAGTGTTCCTGTTGGTTCCTGATGGTTCTGTAATGTGTTTTGTCTATTTTAATGGGTTGATATCACAGTGTAAAGGATCCTAATGGTTTAACAGGTGAGCAGTGGCTGGTTCTAAATGTGTTTGATGGCTTCTAATGGTCCTTTTTCAGCAGGGCACTGTCTGATCCATTAGCATGTTAAGCTTCAGTCTGCTGAGAGGAAATGAGGAATAAATAAGTTCACATCCTCTACAGATCACACTCATACATACATATACATATGATGGCTGGGCAATATGACCATATATATCATTATGGTGATGAATTATGTCACAGTCCAGTACGCATTTAACTGGATTTAGAGCCAAATACTGAATGGAAATCACAGTTTATGATAGTATTTTTAAAACGTAGCACTGCTAGCTCTTTTCATCTGTTCCAGCTGATCAGATGTCAGAATATCATACATTATGAAAAATGTTATATTTTATATATATTTTGCCATATCGCCCACCTCTTTCTCTATATATATACATATATATTCGTTACAATATGATATATTCAGTAAGTGGACATTTAAAGAATCTGGTGGTTGCTATATGTTGCTAAGTATCCCAGAGGGCTGCTATGGTGCTCCTCTATGGTTGCTAGGTAGTTGCTATTATGTTGCTAGATTGTTGCTATGGTATTACAGGTGGTTGCAGTGTGGTGCTATGGTGTTGCCAAGTTGGTGGTTACTATGGTTGCCTAAGTCCACTGCCACCTTTAATTTCCTGCTACCTTAACTTCACTGCTACCTTAAATCCACTACCACTTTAAATCCAGTGCCACCTTAAATACACAGCTACCTAAAATCTCCTGCTACCTTAAAAGAGTTTGTGTGCATTTGTGTGCTGTGTGCGTGTTTGGTGTGTTCTGTGTGTGTGTGTGTGTGTGTGTGTGTGTGTGTGTGTGTGAGTGTGTGTGTGTGTGTTTGTGGTTAGTGTATTTGTATCATCGTGACACAAGAAAGTTGCCAAAACATTTGCACTCCATTCATTCCTATGGGAAAAATTCCACAAAATTCCACTGCTACACGGAAACATCCACTCAAAAAGCTGTATACAAGCCCGAATCACACAATCAGTCCAGACAATCTGGAGTCAGAATGGCGTTGAGATCTTGAAAACTGCAGGATGAGTTATCTTTTCAAAATAAGAAAAGAAGAATAATATAAAACTAAGAAGAACATACAACAACCATAATTAACATAAATGACAAACCACATCGGATATTCTTTTCTGACGTTATAAAAAATACAGCGAGTCTAATAAATGAAGCTGTTGTTTATTCATGTTTTCATTTTCCTCAAATGTGATAATCATACGCTGCATTTCAGTGTAAAAATTGTCATTCCTTACAAAGGTTTACAATAATTCCTAGCCATAATTCCAGAGGAATACAATATCATAGTTATTGTCATTGGAACAATGACAATGGGAGACAGTGCTGATGATTTCTATTGCGAACTAAAGAAAAGGCAGTGAAGCTGACCACTGACTGACCGTTCCTGCATGCGCTTCCACGTCCACTTACCGTCCTTTTCGATCCTCAGGATGCAGAAATACAACAAGACTTACAACACAGTCAGAAACATGATGCACTGCAGAGTCATATTTGGGGAATTGTGGGAAGTCATGAGTGCAGAAGCGCTGTGAGTCGGAGACGGCGCGAGTCCTGGTCAGCCACTCCGGAAAGCACGTTGTGTGGGTGCGTGTTTCGGAAACGCTCATACATTCACGCGGCGGGCGCAAACCCACGCTTTTGACGTCTTCTCAACGCTCTGGCAATGCCCAGTTACGGCGTGGCTGCGCCGCCTGACCCTGAAGTAGCCTCACAGTGGTTAACGCGTAGTTAAGCGAGAAGGTGACGAGTTGATACAGAACGACTGGATGTAAACAGCCTGGACCTCCTCAGACGGAGATCCTGGTCCAGGATCACTCAGAGCTCACAGGTCATGTGACATGTTCATTCTTGGATTTGGGGCTGAAGAAGAAAACATCTTTAGGCCCACAGGAAGTCCTCAAGTCCTTTGTTTGGCACTGGCCGAAGATCATGTCTGCTGTTGGTGTCGGTGTTGGTGTTTGGGTCCATCAGAGCAGTTCTGTTGGACGTGCTGGACATGCTGGCGTGACTCGGCCCTGGACGAACAGTGTGAGTGATGATAAGTGGCTGGTGAGAAAAGGGAAGCTTTAGGGAGAAGTTAAGGCCATAGTCAAAGTTCTGGAGACTCTGTATTGGGCAGACATGAGAGGGTGTTCTTACTGGCCTTTAGCTAGCCTCTCTCAGGTTGGGTCCTTAAAGGGGAATTCCACTGATATTTTCAAATTTCTGCAGTGTGTGAGATGTAATCAGAGAGATTCAGAGTGGTTTGGTGTGAAATGGTTCAGATGTCTTTACAGTGGTGGTGATAGGAACCAGGGGTCGCCATGACTACAACACAGATATAGACATTTTATTTACTATCCAGAACCACCAGAGAACTGGTGGTTTTGGATAGTAAATAAAGGGGACTATTTGGCAACACTCTCCATGTATCCCTCCACTGTGAATAGAGTTATGAAAGGCCAAAAACTTCAAGACTATCGTAAAACAGTGGATTCATAACCATTCTATGTAATCACTTCCTGTGAGGGAGCTTTTAGAGGCACTGAACACTTCAGATGTCTGCAATTATTTAATTCTGCAGAAATTTAGAAAAATTGGTGGAATTTTCCTTTAAGCCAGGGGTCCAATCTTGTCTGTTAAGGTTTTTTAATTGCAAATCAGCAGGAGCATCCACTTGTTTAATTAATTAGTTCAGTTAGTAGACTGACACTTATACCTAAAAGGGGAATCTCAAAACTAATGTTTCTCTAGAACGGAGCGTTTCACACCAAACCACTCTGAACGACTCTGTTTACATCTTAACCACTTAATTATGCAGGACTTTTGGAAAACTGGTGGAGGTTCCCTTCCAGGCTGCCCTCCTCAGACAGATGTTCTGGATGTTCCTGTCAGTCACTGCTGGACACTGAGGGCACCGACAGCTGAGTCTGAAACAGTGATTACAGCGTTTGTGTACAGGGCAGTTATTGCACAAGAGGGACAGAGAGACGGAGAGCAGCGTCTCGGCTGGACAGCAGGTGCTCTGCTCAGGTCAGGACAGAGAGGAGGGCCAGAGACACACCCAGTAAGTCATACCTGATCCGAATTATTTGGGGTTCTCTGTTTACATCTGTTCACTTTCAGGATACAGTCACTCGTTTGGCCGTGTAAATTACTACAGCGGGTTCAGGGAAGGAGGGAAGAAACAAAAGTAAAAGTGACCAATTTCATCCATTTAAAAGGAGAACTCCACCAACTTTTCAAAATGCCAGTATAACTCAGTGTGTGAGGTGTAAACAGAGAGATTCAGAATGGTTTGGTGTGAAATGGTTCAGATGTCTTTACAGTGGTGGTGAAAGGGACATAAACACAGAGCTATGCTATTTTATTTTTTATTTACTGTCCTAAATGATTAATACACCTACATGTCATCTGTGTTTTTATATGTAATAATAAACCTTAATCGAGGCTTTTCTTTGACCACTGTTTTGCCACCCTGAACAAACGTCTTTCATTGTTTGCTATCTGGTGTGGTCCAGAGGAGGATGGGTTCCCCTTTTGAGTCTTGGTTCCTCTCAGTGTTTCTTCCTCTTGCTCTTAGGGAGTTTTTCCTTGCCACTGTTGCCATTGGCGACGCTCATGGGGGCTCAGACCCGGATTTTTCTGTAAAGCTGATTTGCGACAACGCCTGCCGTAAAGGGCTATATAAGTAGATTTTGACTTGACTCATGTAATAACTGTCTGTGAGGGAGCTTTTAGAGGTGGATGTCTGGTTCCCATCACCACCACTGTGAACAGTTCTGACTCTAGAACGGAGAGTTTCACACCAAACCACTCTGAACGACTCTGTTTACATCTGAACATGTTGAAATTTTGAACATTCTGTGGAATCCTCCTTTAACTGCGGAGAGGTAAGTGAGAAGCGTGTGAAAAGCAGACAGGGAGATGTTCCACCGCTTTGGTCAGACTGTAGGTGAGATAGCCATGCTGATGAAGCAGGACTGGGCTGGTCATCTCCATGAAGAACGCTAGCTCTGCTAACAGCGAATCAAAGTTAGCATAAGCCAGTTAGCATCATTATGAAAACAATCATGCTAAGTGGTCCCACCAGTTTTAATGTCCTGCTAGTGTTTCTGGGCGATGTTTTCTTTATCGGTCAAATCCATCAGTGCGTGAACGTGGACATGGAGGTCCTGGTCCTTCGGCTCCAGTTGAGGCTGGATCCGGCTCCCGGCTCGGCCGGCTCGGCGTGCTGCTCCCGCTTGCGCAGCCTGGTGCTCAGCTGGATCAGGCACTGGTCCCAGTCCTCCGGCAGCAGCAGCATCAGGAAGCCCAGGCAGATGATGAAGACGGCGATGAGCCGCACCGTGTTGAAGTGGATCTCACAGGTGTACAGGTCGACCACTGCGGACACAGCGGGGGTCAGAGAGGAGGAGTGAGACAGCCTTGGAGTGTCACACAGCAGGTGTGTTTCTTTATTCACTACAGAGTGAACGAGTGAGCTGAGAGTGTAGCAGCCGTCAAACTCACCAAAGTCTGCATGACCAAATTAACAGGTTCACTAATAAACATCACAGCCAACAGAAACTAAATGAAAACTACACTAAAAGCTATTAGCTATTAGCTAAAGCTACTACTCTCTTATCTAGTATCTGAAACAATACTAAAACTGAAAATCAGAATAAAATAGTGAATAAATATTAAACTAATGAACGTTTAATTGATTTTACAAGACGTCTAAAACCCATCATGATTGTGATTGTGACTGGACACCTATATATGAATCAGAGGTGAGTATAAAGCACTGTTTTAAAGCTCACGTTCGTTTACATTAATAAAGCGTGTGCTGGACTGGACGCTGTCCATGAGAGGGCTGGACTGGGATGAAGGCACCACTTACTTGCATTCACAGGAACACTCAGCACAATCCCGAGTGAAATTAGCGTCGGATACGTTATAGCGATCCCGAAGTTCACCAGGATGTTGAACGCTGTAGAGAAATAAAACAACACGAAGACGAGTGTAAACACAATGGCACTGGAAATATTAATAAATATCATAAATATCAAGGCCTGGTGAAGGCAGCGTAGGCCGTCACAAGGTCGCAGGTAACTGAGGAACACGGCAGGAAAAAAATGTGTGTTTACTGGTGCAAAAAGTGCCAAGATGTGAACTTTTAACAAAATGCAAAAACAAATGAAATAGAAAAATAAAGCTATTGACAAAAAAAGTGTAGTTTGTAGAGAATTTCTTTTAAAATCCTCCTGTTCAAACTTTAAACATACAATCAGCAAAATTATATTTTCCCCAGGTTGTCCACGATATCTCTCTCTCTCTCTCTCTCTCTCTCTCGCTGTGTCTTTCTCTTTTTCTCTCTCTCTCTCTGTCTCTCTCTCTCTCTCTCTCTCTGTGTCTCTCTCTTTCTCTCTCACTGTGTCTCTCTCTCTCTCTCTCTCTCTGTGTCTCTCTCTCTCTCTCTCTCTCTGCAGTGAGAGACTAACCCCAGAAGACGTCCCGAACACAGATTTTAACATGTATCTTCCATGTATACACAATAAAAAGGCATGAAACAGGTCACAAACATTAAACCACACCATGACACAAACAGATCAGATTAAAGAGATTTTTAGTAAAGTTTAATAAAGCTCTGAGTTAACAAGCTGCGTTTTCGACTGTCTAATAAAAGCTGAACTGAGCTCCACAGTTTAGAAGCAGAATAACTGAAAGAGTCTCTCCACGTTTTCTGTGTTTTACTGAAGGAGTTCAGAAAGTCAGAATCTGCAGATCTGAGATCATAAACAGACGTTCAGGAGCTTTAAGGGCATTTAGAGCTTTAAAACCAGCAGCAGAGCTTTAAACTCTCTATAACAGATCCAGGCGGTCAGTGCAGTGTGTAAACGGGGTGATATGAACTCTGTCTGTCAGTCTGTCTGCAGAGTCTTGATCATCAGAAGGAACAGAAATGTATAGCTGGGCGTCGTCAGCATAGCTATGAAAATTTATATTATGCTTCCTAATGACATCACCTAGAGGTAGCATGTACAAAGAGAAAAGCAAAGGCCCTAAAACTGAACCCTGTGGGACTCCACAAAAACCCTGTTCAGTGAATGATTTCTCCAGTAAAACCATGAACTGTCTGTTCATTAACTATGATTTAAACCGTTCTAAAACTGTGCCCGAGAGGCCGACCCAGCATTCAAGGTGGTAGACTAGAATTATGTGATTAACAGTACCAAAATCTGCAGTGGGTTCCAATAAGATCAGAATAGAAGGATTTTGTGCATCAGTGCTGAGCCTGAGGTCATTCACAACATGAACCAATGCCGTCTCTGTACTGTGGTTAGAATCAAAACCTGAATGAAACGTCTCATATAATTTGTTTGATATTAGATACACAATTTATTGTTTGAGGGTAACTTTTTCTGAGACTTTACTTAAAAAAGAAAGATTAGAAATTGTTAACCAGTGTTAGCCTGTCAGACCCGCTCTGTCACACAGGGAAAGTCAGACATACCTAGCAGGAGGGCTGCTACTCCGCAGAGGTTGGCCCAGGGAATACTGTCCAGAGACCCAAAGTACTCCACGTGGGTGAAGTACAGAATTACTGGCACGAAGCTAATGAAGACAAAGTTGGCTCCCCCGACAATGCTGAGGAACAGAGCAGCCTCCCCAAACTTGGCACTGCCGAGCACCAGCTTGAAGAGCACCTGAGAGAAACAACACGGAGAACATCAGTCTGAAGAACATCAGAAGCAGAAGAGCATCTGATAGCTCCTCAACATCCTCTGATCAGCTACGAAACACAGGCAGGAAAAACTGTGGCCATCAGAAGTGGAGAGTTTCAGAAAGTGTCCCCATCTGACCTCTCACAGATCAGCCCTTCAGCTCAGACGTGTCAGAGAACAGCACATCACAGATTAATGTTATTATGAAACATCTGTAATATTCATCCTGTCATCAGTGTAGCTGCCTGGACCATCTCTAAAAATAAATAGCTTGATAGTTTGCTGTTAAAAAAATCAAGATTATTAATTATATCACCCCACATACACACACCCACACAGTTGACATGCATTCTACACTGTCTTTAGCTTAAATGCTATTTTTTAGCCTTAACTGATTTAATTACATTATGTATTAAATAATGGACCATTGAAAAATTCTTACTACCTTTGACTAATGAACTATTTCACCTCTTGTTCTGAAAGCTGACTGTAAATAAGAGCCTTTGTGAGCTCCTGCTGGTGTGAGTTCACCGCTGTTGCTTCTTTTTAAACGATGCACACAAAAGCAACTGGAGTGCTGATAACTTCAGACTGCTAAACATGTTTGAGTGAGGGAGTGCCAAAGCCAGTTCCATGTGCTTTATATATTAACAAAATGAGACATGTTCCATAATTATAGTGGAATCACTCTGGAATTCAGCTGATGGGTAAACAGTAGGTATTATGTTTGGAATATTCTACAGGAAAACCTGCAGCAGAAGCAGCATCCAGTCTGTTAATGCCTGATAATAATCCTTTGTTTTAACATGTACAATGTCAGAAAAAAGGTAAAGTAGAGGTACATTTTTCTTCATGGAGGCACAAACAATACAAATGAGCCCTCAAACTGTCTTAAGGCCTTCGTGTGCCTTAATTTTTTCCCATGTGAAAGGCAAAATAACGACATAAAAATAGAACCAGTCATTTGTACATGACTGATGTACATGATTTGTCATTTCTACATTTTCATAAAGTTTTCAAATGGAAAAATAAACAGCCTGAAGTCCAGACAGGGTGTAAAGAGTCAATGCAACTAAAAAACGGAACGGCAATTTGATTTGCTAGTTATGTTCCCTAATTAAAGATAGAGATGACCCCAGTGACGTGAGGGGCATCACTAATTTAGCCTTTTTTCAAATGTACACTATATTTAATATTATACAGCAACTGTTTACAACATGGATGTATTCTGAAGCAGAGTAATCAGTCAATCACTGGCCTCTTTTCCACTGCAGGGCCGGATGGTTCTGAGCACGGAGGGCATTTCCACACGGACACGGTTCGACATGGAGCGCTTTTTTCAGCACAGTTAGCTAAGCGTACTCAGGGCCACAGAACCGTTCAGTGGGATGATGTAACGATGTAGTTATTCACTGATTGGTTCTATTTTTATGGCGGTTTTGTGTTTCAAACTTGAAAACAATCAAATAAATTCAGTTCGCTCACACGGACGGCAAATAAATGAAAGTAGTGCAGGTGAACCCACCGCAGTACAGGCTGTTTCAGTAACTGATCTCAAATAACACTCGTTTAGAGGATAAACAAGATGAGCACAGCGGAGAGAGACCGGAGTTGGAGTGACAGACGGAGTCTAACAGAATCTATCTAGTGATGTGTGCGTGGCTATTAGCCTGTTAGCAGTTAGCCTCTTGTTTGAGTTTTTCTTGGGTATTCCCTGGTTCTGATTTAGTGGTACAGAAACTGTAACCAGTCTCGCGAGTTCAGACCAGCGCGGAACGGCCCATTAGAAAGCAAAACCATTAGGTTTTAATCTCAGTAGTTTCTAATTCCATTTTCAGCAGGGGAGAGTTTACAAATGCAATGATAGCCAGTTAATAGTGACAATATGAGTTCATCAACAAATTCATCCACCAAGTTTTCTAAAATTTTTGCATAATTCTGTCGTTGAGATGTAAACAAAATCATTCAGAGTGCTGTGACATAGACTGGTTAATTGCAGACTCAGAGCTCTTTACAGTGGTGGTGATAGGAACCAGGGGTCGCCATGACTACAACACAAATATAGACATTTTATTTACTATCCAGAACCACCAGTGAACCTACACGAGTCTTCTGAGTTTATATGGAATGTTGATGATGGAAAATAGTGGAAAATAATAAGTCTGAAATAATAAGTTTTCTTTGGGGACTATTTTGCCTCACAGCGCCCTGCATGTATCCCTCCACCATGAATGGAGTTTAAGTTGTCTAAACCATCATAAAACAGTGTCTCAGTCATCAGGCAGTGAATTCATAACCATTTCCTGTAGTAACTCTGTGAGGGAGCTTTTAGAGGTGGACGTCTGGTTCCTATCACCACCACTGTGAACAGTTCTGACTCGGTAAGTTTCTCTAGAATGGAGAACCACTCTGAACCACTCTGTTTACATCTTAACCAGTTAATTACGTTGAAATTTTGAATAAATGGTGGAGTTCAAAGACCCTTCAATGGTTTCCACTAGTTTCCTGTAGAACATCTTTAGATCCCATTAGGAAACCATCAGATGCATTTAGAATCAGCCACTGTTCACATGTTAAACCATCAGGATCCTTTACACTGTGATATCAACCCATTAAAACAGACAAAACATTACAGCACCATCAGGAACCAACAGGAACACGTAACGGTTTCTGTGGGTTTTTTCCAGCTGAGTCTGCTTCCTCTTTCTCTGTGACACTCCTGTAATGTCTTTACCTTGTACAGCGCAGAGGCTGAAGCAGAAGCCACGACCAGCGTGATTCCGATAACGGAATGGCTGTGGAATCCGTCTGCATACGTCATCATCACGATGCCTGCGATGGCCAAGATGGCAGCGACAATCTGCAGAAGACAAACACATGCTGTTCAGTTCTGGGCCAGTAATAACAGGCCTTGGCCCAGAGTGCAGTGGAGAGTCTAGCTGATCCTCAGCTCTGTTAGGTTCAGAGATCACTCAGCCTCACACGCTGCATTAGAGCACTTCAGGAAATGAACTGTGACAGCGCAATAAAACTGATTTACACATCTCCGCTACTGAGGGCTGAAGAGGGTCGTCGAGAGATCAGATTTTAGCAGCTGACCTAAAGGGTTTGACCTCCCCCGAGTGGAGGTCAAACCCCAGTGAAGACCCGACAGTGAGGCCCGACTGATAGCATCAGCTGAAACTGAGGTCTTGCTCAAAAATCCCCCAGTAAAGCTCAGATGACTGTTACAAACGGTAATGAACAGCCATATCAGACACTGAACAGGCTCTAATCACTCCTGGCCTGTTCGAAATGAGAGTTTGTATGTAAATACTGAATGTTTTAAAAGCCTGACGTCGAGACAGAAGCTCCACAGACAGAAGCTCCACAGACAGAAGCTCCACAGACAGAAGCTCCACAGACAGAAGCTCCACAGACAGAAGCTCCACAGACAGAAGCTCCACAGACAGAAGCTCCACCCCCATGAATAGTTTGTGCCCCTCCAAAACAGCAGAACTGGCACCATGACTGCACACTCATCAATAGACAGACATAGATTCGATTAGGTTAAATTAGATTAGATTAGATTAGAATAGAGCAGAATGGATTAGAGTAGATTAGATTTGATTAAATTAGATTAGATTAGAGTACATTAGATTTGATTAGATTAGAGTAGATTAGATTGGATTATATTAGATTAGATATCGCAGAATAGACTAAATTAGATAAGAGTAGAGCAGATTAGATTGTATTAGATTAGAGTACAGTAGATTAGATAAAGGTAGATTAGATAAGCGTAGATTAGAGTAGATTCGATTCGATTAGATTCGATTAATTTTACACTCTTTTGGCTGTTTTACAGGAAGCAAACCTGAACTGCCTGAGTAAAAAAGATCCAATTCTATAATCAATTCTATAAATCTTCATTCCATTCCTGTAAGAAGGAACAGGAGACTCTCTCATTGTTAGGATCTGTAGTTTGTCGTTATCCCTACACTATCTAGTACCTCATTGAAGTGAGGACCTCCTAAAGCTCCTAAAGCTGACGTTCTCCTGATCTCTCTCTCCACTCTCTCTCCTCCTCCTGATCTCTCTCTCCACTCTCTCTCCTCCTCCTGATCTTACTCTCTCTCCTCCTGATCTCTCTCTCCACTCTCTCTCCTCCTCCTGATCTTACTCTCTCTCCTCCTGATCTCTCTCTCCACTCTCTCTCCTCCTCCTGATCTTACTCTCTCTCCTCCTGATCTCTCTCTCCACTCTCTCTCCTCCTCCTGATCTTACTCTCTCTCCTCCTCCTGATCTTACTCTCTCTCCTCCTGATCTCACTCTCTCTTCACTCTCTCTCCTCCTCCTGATCTCACTCTCTCCTCCTCCTGCTCTCACTTTCTCTCCACTCTCTCTCCTCCTCCTGATCTCACTCTCTCTCCTCCTCCTGATCTCACTTTCTCTCCACTCTCTCTACTCCTCCTGATCTCACTCTCTCTCCTCCTCCTGATCTCACTCTCTCTCCACTCTCTCTCCTCCTCCTGATCTCACTCTCTCTCCTCCTCCTGATCTCACTCTCTCTCCACCTCCTGATCTCACTCTCTCTCCACTCTCTCTCCTCCTCCTGATCTCACTCTCTCCTCCTCCTGCTCTCACTTTCTCTCCACTCTCTCTCCTCCTCCTGATCTCACTCTCTCCTCCTCCTGATCTCACTTTCTCTCCACTCTCTCTACTCCTCCTGATCTCACTCTCTCTCCTCCTCCTGATCTCACTCTCTCTCCACCTCCTGATCTCACTCTCTCTCCACTCTCTCTCCTCCTCCTGATCTCACTCTCTCTCCTCCTCCTGATCTTACTCTCTCTCCTCCTCCTGATCTCACTCTCTCTCCACTCTCTCTCCTCCTCCTGATCTCACTCTCTCTCCTCCTCCTGATCTCACTCTCTCTCCACCTCCTGATCTCACTCTCTCTCCACTCTCTCTCCTCCTCCTGATCTCACTCTTTCCTCCTCCTGCTCTCACTTTCTCTCCACTCTCTCTCCTCCTCCTGATCTCACTCTCTCCTCCTCCTGATCTCACTTTCTCTCCACTCTCTCTACTCCTCCTGATCTCACTCTCTCTCCTCCTCCTGATCTCACTCTCTCTCTCTCCACCTCCTGATCTCACTCTCTCTCCACTCTCTCTCCTCCTTCTGATCTCACTCTCTCTCCACTCTCTCTCCTCCTCCTGATCTCTCTCCACTCTCTCTCCTCCTCCTGATCTCACTCTCTCTCCACTCTCTCTCCTCCTCCTGATCTCACTCTCTCTCCACTCTCTCTCCTCCTCCTGATCTCACTCTCTCTCCTCCTCCTGCTCTCACTTTCTCTCCACTCTCTCTCCTCCTCCTGATCTCACTCTCTCTCCTCCTGATCTCACTCTCTCTCCACTCTCTCTCCTCCTCCTGATCTCACTCTCTCTCCACTCTCTCTCCTCCTCCTGATCTCACTCTCTCTCCTCCTGATCTCACTCTCTCTCCACTCTCTCTCCTCCTCCTGATCTCACTCTCTCTCCTCCTGATCTCACTCTCTCTCCACTCTCTCTCCTCCTCCTGCTCTCACTCTCTCTCCTCCTGATCTCACTCTCTCTCCACTCTCTCTCCTCCTCCTGCTCTCACTTTCTCTCCACTCTCTCTCCTCCTCCTGATCTCACTTTCTCTCCACTCTCTCTACTCCTCCTGATCTCACTCCCTCTCCTCCTCCTGATCTCACTCTCTCTCCACCTCCTGATCTCACTCTCTCTCCACTCTCTCTCCTCCTCCTGATCTCACTCTCTCTCCTCCTCCTGATCTCACTCTCTCTCCACCTCCTGATCTCACTCTCTCTCCACTCTCTCTCCTCCTTCTGATCTCACTCTCTCTCCACTCTCTCTCCTCCTCCTGATCTCACTCTCTCTCCTCCTCCTGATCTCTCTCCACTCTCTCTCCTCCTGCTGATCTTACTCTCTCTCCTCCTGATCTCACTCTCTCTCCACTCTCTCTCCTCCTCCTGATCTCACTCTCTCTCCACTCTCTCTCCTCCTCCTGATCTCAGTCTCTCTCCTCCTCCTGATCTTACTCTCTCTCCACTCTCTCTCCTCCTCCTGATCTCACTCTCTCTCCTCCTCCTGATCTCACTCTCTCACCACTCTCTCTCCTCCTCCTGATCTCACTCTCTCCTCCTCCTGCTCTCACTTTCTCTCCACTCTCTCTCCTCCTCCTGATCTTACTCTCTCTCCTCCTCCTGATCTCACTCTCTCCTCCACTCTCTCTCCTCCTCCTGATCTTACTCTCTCTCCTCCTCCTGATCTCACTCTCTCTCCACTCTCTCTCCTCCTCCTGATCTCACTCTCTCTCCTCCTCCTGATCTCACTCTCTCTCCACTCTCTCTCCTCCTCCTGATCTCACTCTCTCTCCTCCTCCTGATCTCACTCTCTCTCCACTCTCTCTCCTCCTCCTGATCTCACTCTCTCTCCTCCTCCTGATCTCACTCTCTCTCCTCCTCCTGATCTCTCTCTCTCTCTCCTCTGTTCCCCACCCTGCCTCTCTCACTCCTCACCTTCGTAGCTCCTGTTGTGCTCTGACACGGTTGTTTAATCCATGATTCCGTGGCCGTAGCTGAGTCAGCGCGGCGTTGCCGTTGGTGACTGAGCTCTAGATGAGACGGCCGGACTGTGTGAGGGAGCTCAGTGGAGCGAGGCTGCTGATCCAGACATCACAGCAGGCTGAGCCAGAGTGGAAGACCAGTCCACATCAGTCAGTCCTCATTGATCAGTCCTCATCAGTCAGACCACATCGGTCAGTCCACATCGGTCAGCCCACATCGATTAGACCACATTGGTCAGCACAGTGTCTGTTTCTACTGTTCAGATAAAAATTAGCGGCTTTTTTGTTCTCTTTATTTTAAAAACACCTTCACGGCTCAAACACAAGCCCAGACGTCTCCAGAGATAAGGTCACATAATCCTGAGTAAGAGCAGTCTTACAGCACTGCCCCCTGGTGGTGAATAATGCTTCAGTGATCTGTCCCCCAAACCATGCTGTGAGTCTACAGCAGCATAACGGACACTATATGTGACTGCTCTTTACAGCTCATTAACCCATTAATAATCATATCTGAATGATTATTTTTTATTGGGCCACATATTTTGAGTTTGTATGAGCACAAACTGATCGACCCGTACAGATAAACAGTGAGTTATTACTGTTAAATTCACGAGACTGATTTTCAACAAAATAGAAAATCCAAATTTGAACATGAATAAAAGTATGAAATTGACTTCTAATTAGAAACGTAGATATAAGACCAATAGACCAATCAGAGCAGCTTCTACAGCATTTCCCTTACTGTACAAATTCTCTGCATGGTGAAATGGTTCTTCAGATTGATGGAGAATGTGCTGTATATGGTTCTCTATAGCACCAAAACGTCAGGCTTGTTACAATAGAAGAACCTTTTTGGCGCTATATAGAACCATATACAGCACATTCTTCATGAAGGGAAGCTCTCTGTTCCACGTCAGGTGCTTTATTAATCTGTTCTTTCATTCAGGTTCTTTTCATCCTGTCTGAAAGGGTTCCACACTGGAAAAAGGTTCTAGGACAGACATTAACAATAGTGGAACTCTGCTTGGTGTGACAGGGATCTACTTTTAAATGGTATTTTTAAAGAACCGCACACAGCAGGTTCTCCATCTTACAGGCATATGCAAAAGTTTGTGCACCCCAGTCTAATGATGTGGCGTTGTTGATTTTCTAAGTGTGAATAAGTAAACGCATCCCCTACAGAGACTCATTTCAATACACAATCACTGTTTATTTACTGAATTTAATACATTGGGAAAGTAATAAAACTTGAAAAGTGGCCTGTGCAAAAGTAATGGCACTTTTTTATATTTTATTTTTTTCCAATAAATAAAAACATCATGTTTGAGTGTGTTCTCTGTAGAGGGTGAGCTAACGTATTTACAGTTAGAAAATCAACAAAACGTAATTTGACCAAATTTTGGCATATGGTGATAACAATAAAAGTAATAATAATAATAATAATAATAATAATGTAAAAACTGATGCAGGAGAATATAATAACCATCATGACCTCAACATTTTGATGGAGTGTAAAGATGCAGGATCAGCGAAAAAAAAAACGACCTATTTTGACACAAATGTCTAAACTCTGGTCACAAAAATACCAACAACAATAATATTAGATTAAATGAATCTCAGAGCGGACAGTCTGCTCACCCTGACGCCCATGAAGCGGTCACGCAGCACGATCCAGGACAGCAGGAAGACGAAGGCCTTGTTGCAGCAGAACAGAGCCGAGGCGTCGGTGGTGTTGATCTTGCGCAGCGCCTGCAGGTACAGGTAGTTGGTCGTGGTCCACAGCAGCCCGAAGGGAGCCACCTTAGTGAAGAAGACCTTGGCCGTCAGTCCGTCCTCGCCGAAGAACCGACAGCACTCCCTGCAAACATGCAGCACAGAGATCACCAAACAGACCACACCGTCCGGCTCGGCGTCCAGCGCTCTCCTGCTGGAGAGCCTCGGTCCGAGTTCTTCACACTGTACAGTCATTAACAAACCCCTCTCTGACCTCCCTGAAACGAAGATGAATTATGGAGAGTCCAGGTCATTAATATTGATTTACATTACGGTGTGCATTACATTACAGTATCCACTCGTTTCACAAACGGTCTCCACACATCACTGCGGTACAGTTTTACTGTAAAAGGGTCGGAATTGACTTAAAAGCTTTTATGATGATTCTGTGCCATCTGCATTATTTCACAAACAAAAATCACCAAAAGGTCTCGTTTCTTTACATGGTCACCAAATAAGTGACCACAGTGCTCAATTTTCAAGCCAACTGATAAATGCTAATCAGTACTGCTCACTAGGAGAGAGGACCTGGTTACTGTTAGCTTAACCACAGAACAGCTGGATTCTGGCTCTGAAAACACTGATACAAGTTTACATGATAAAGACTGAAATCTGAGGGAGCGAAGAGGAGCAGCTGGAGCTGAGAGGACAGTTTAAAGACCTATTTACTGAGGGAAATTAAGACATTTATTGAGTTATACATTTATTAAAGTAATATTAATGCCTTTATTGAAAATTGATGCTTTTATTAGGGTAAATTGATGTGTTTAAGATAAGCTGATGTTGCTTCATATTTGCCAACTTGTATAATTCGTTCTACGTTTAAGGTGCCTCAGTGTAACTGCAGCTCCGTTTAAGGTGGACCGTAAATTCTAATGAGAATCCAGTGAATAAGAAGCTTCATCTTCATATCTGTGTATGAGTTTATTATTTAAGAGCTTTGGCAGTTTTGTTTGACGTATTTATTAGTTTTTATAAAATCTCACACTGGAATGTTCTGAACTCTGGAGATGAGCAGGTCATACAGATCCACCAATCAGCTGATCTTCTCCTCATAGTGTTTCTGGAGACGCATCTAAAGTGTCCTCATATCTGTTCATGTGTTTGTGGTCATTCTGGTCAGTGTTGTTGGTGTTGATCCTCCTGCAGGGCTGAATCTGCAGTAACGGTGATGAGACGAGCTCCACCAGAGCACAGAGCACAGCTCACCTACCAACATGAAGACGCAAGCAAGCAAGTCAAAGTTTATTTATATAGCGCTTTTTACAACAGGTGTTTTCACAAAGCAGCTTTACAGAAAGAAATCCGGGTCCGAGCCCCCATGAGCGTCACCAGTGGAGACAGTGGCAAGGAGAAACACGCTAAGAGGAAGAGGAAGAAACCTTGAGAGGAACCAAGACTCAGAAGGGGAACCCATCCTCCTCTGGTCGACACCGGATAGGAAACAGTGACGGAGTGACTTCCTAATAACAGTGACTTCCTAATAACAGAGTCCAGTACTATGAATAAAACGTCTAGCACATCTGCTTATTCCACTCTGTATCAGCTCTCAGCACCTGGGAAACAGCTTTACACAAACAGGCCACCTCGTCTGTAACTGCCCAAACCAATCTGAGGTCAGGGCCTAGATCTTCACTTCGTTATGAAGTCTGGCTTCACTCCCATGTCCACCTCTGAGGTATCAGTGGTCTGCAGCAGCAGTGGAGTGAAGTACAAATGAGGTTTAACACCAACATGAGACCAAATTAAACATAATTAAACATCCTTTTTCAAACGGTTACAGTGGTCAAATATACAGTAAAGAACAGCAGACAGACAGATAAGAGACAGACAGTTAAAGAAAAACAGAAATAACAGCTGAAAAATGACACAAAGACGATAAAAATGCTGTAAATAATCCAAATGTGTTGCATGCAACTGTCAGGTTGCACTGCAGTTAAGTACAGCATGCAACTAGTTGCATTAAAGTGTCACTGTGTAAAGCAGCCCTATACTAACTGTGACTGTGGCCTTCGTTCTCTAGTCCTCAGTCAAAGAGAATGAAACTCTAGACAGCTGGACATCTCATAAACGCTCTCTGTCGGACGGCTGAGGGAACGTCAACAGAAAACGAGAAGACCTGGAGACGGATTCACCAAAGTACCGTAAGAAAGGAAAACTTACATGTGTGTTTCCTGAACTTCATCCTTAAGAAAAAGTTACGAGAAACTAGATCTTCAAATAATTTCATAAGAATTCTTTATTTTTTTTTAAACTCTTCTGAAGAATAATTCTAAGAGCAGGAGTTTTTCTTGTAAACATCATGTTCTTAAATGTGTTCCTGACCTTACGACAGACTCTCACTCTCAGGCTGTATTGACGAGTTGATCATCTAAACTGATCAGACTCAGCGCTGCCTCTGCTCCTCGTCCTCCGTCACTCCACAGTTATCAGATTTTCTAAGGAGGATTTTTTCCTGTTGGCTGTTTCTTCCTCCATCAGTTCCAGATCTTGTTTGCTAAAGTTTTTAAACACTTGGTTTTATGTTTTTTTCCCATTTTGCTCTTCTGAGTGGATTAAACAAAATAATGGAAATAACAGTTAATACAAATCAAAATGTGTCTTGTGTAGTTTATGTAGTTTAAACTGTAAAAAGCAACAGCTGACATAAGAAAACAAAAGATTTTCTGAAGAACATGTTAAGGAAATAAATAAGAGCATATTTGAGAATATTTGAATTTTTCTTTTTGAGAACTGCACTTAAGAACATTCTTACAAACTTCTTAGCAATTAGTTTAAAACTAATTTCGGTTGCACCACAGTCACTTACGGTACCTCTTAAAGTACGTAATGTGATCGTAGATCAAACACTGACGCACGCTTTCACTCTGCAGCCAATCAGTATCGACATAAACAGGAAACGTTACACTCCTGATCTCCACACGCAGTGAAATCTCTCACGCTTCTCTCTTAACGTGCTGCATTTACGTCGCTTAAGGTATGTAGGTCGTATTAGCTATAATTCATAAGGAGACTGTGTTTTTGTCCTCAAAGCGTCCGTCTCTCATATGTGTGTTTATTCTGTTCTGCTGCTAGAACTGTTCCGATGTTCAAACTCTTGTGCACAATATTTTTAATAGCACTTTATCAGAGATCGGTCTGTAACGTTAGCGAAGCTGCAGCTAATGTAATCACTGTCTGAATCTGCTGAATGACAGAAAGGTAACGTTAGCTATGTTAGTTATATTGTAATAATAATTTGTTATGTACTGTATGATCAGGTCAGCGTCACACACAGCCTGAGCACTGATGGAGCTGCTCTTATTGCTCTGAACACAGTTGACTGTACTTTAATAGTCGCCCACCAGGTTTCTGAACGACCCTGTACAACAACACTTCAGGTCCAGGCCCAAAGCAGGACTAAGTGCTCCATTACTGTCTGTAGTGTGTAAAAGTCTGTGGTCTTTTCAATCTCCGATCAATGAAAGCGAGCGTGATCTGTCCTGCAGAGCTGGTCGCCGTTGCAAACCGAGACTTATTCTGATGTCTTGCACGTTTTCTCATCGATCAAATCGACCGGCCATTTTAACTGATTTTTACAGCGGAACTCACTCCGACTACAGGGTCTGTGTAAATTTTAAGTTATAACTTAAAGCTACATTGAAACTATGTTAGTTGGTGCAACCGGTTAAATTCTCGTAAACTTGAACGTAGTGGCAGTTTACAATCAAACTTGGCTACAGTCGAACTCACGCTGAGCTGGTGCAGCTATGATAAAGCGCTTCCCTCAGTGAGTCTCAGTGTACTCTGCATGAACAAGGAGGCTCATTCAATATTCAGGACACATGCAGGGGCTTCTGGGACGAAGGCTGAGAGAGAGAGAGAGAGAGAGAGAGAGAGAGAGAGAGAGAGAGAGAGAGAGAGAGAGGCTATCCCTGAACTGCAGCAGCAGGCGTGCTGAGTGATGTAACACAGGGGGGACCGTCCTCGTGTCCCCCTGAACCGTCACTGCAGGACTGAGACAGATTAGGACAGAGGACTCGTCCAGAAACTCACTGACCTGTCAGGCTGCAGAGGACAGCTTTAAAATACCTTTATAATCTGCACTAACAGTGTTAAAAGGTGGGCGTCAGCCTTTAACACGGTGAAACCACTCGGCTCTCGCATATTACCGCTTTAATACGTCAGCGCTGCTGTAATAACGCGGGATCAGGGGCGGCTTCATCCTGAGCACCTTATAGATCCGGGCTGTCCAAGGTCCGGCCTCAGGGCCAGTGACCACCGGCAACTCTAAGAGCTTCACTTTATTCATGGAGAGCCGTAACAAATGTGCACTTATGAATTTACTATCGCAGTAAATTATGAACCTCAGCATGGAAATCACACTAAATATTGAGGGGACAAAAAAACTAAAGCAGCTAAAAAACCAAATCAGAAAAAATCCAATAGTTTGAACAACAGTATTACCCGTTCTGTATGTTCGTGTTTTCATATTCTGAATACAGAATATGAAACATAACTTAGGAATACCGTTTTGGTAAAGAGTGACTGGCCCTCAGGTGTCCTGATCGGGAGGGGGTCTGTGTTCGGTGCATTTTTGGGGGCCGTTTTGAGGGTCTGAGTTTGTTTGACGTGTTTACATGCGCACAGAAAACCATGACACACCGCCTTCACTACAAAACAGCAGAAGAGATTTAATTTAGCTGTTATGTTTGTTTGTTCTAACTGTTTACCTTTCTGTCTGAAGTGAATGTGCATCATTAGCATCGTTTGCAGATCCTCGACAGTCCACTTCACCACAGCCTGATGTTAGACACAGAGAACAACGAGGCTGAAGTGGCTTCTTATTCTTGTTGGAATTTTCCCGTTCCACCTTAAATGGTGCTACAGGTACATTCTGGCTCCTCAGGTGTTATAATATATAAAATATATAACTGTTGCACCATTTAAGGTGGAACGGGAATATAATTTGAATACGGCGCTGGCGAATAGGATTCTGACTTCAGCTTCATCAGAGAACATGAGAAAAGCTCTGTGTCCACAGGATATGATAGTGTTTTACACTACATGCCAATTATTAATATAATCTGACGTTATTTTCACGGCTCGTTTTATGGAAGGTCTTTACAGACGCGAGAGCGTTCAGTTGCTAAAAATGACTGGCACTGTTCCTGTTTGTCTGTCCTGTCTTGTCCAGTTTGTCCACTGTCGGGGGTGGGTGTGTGTGGCCAAGGAACACTAGCCTGGGAATTTAAAGATAAATAAATAAAAATGTACGGACCTGGCACAAATACACATACATAAATACATATCTATGTATATGGAAAACACATATATGGATAATAATGTACATGATGCATAACCTATGTAATTATATAAAGTTGGGCCCAACACAGCAGTTAGCATGCTACCATCGTGGTGCTGCACAGCCCTAATGTGACCTTCTGTGATGGAACATCTGTGCCCACTGGCCCGTAACCGGACCATCTGAGCCGCCCTCTGCACCCTCACACTCTCCTCACCTGAATCTTTGCTTGGGCGTCTGCCTCTCCGGGCTCTTGCACAAGTGTCCGACGTAGTAGAGAGGAAAGAAGAGGCAGTTCCACGTGGTGGCGAACCACGTGAGGGTGAAGGGCGCGTCGAACCGCTTGAAGGTCAGTTTGGCCAGCTGGGTGGAGCCAGCCCAGGACGAGCACACGCACATCACCATGGCCACGCCCCACAAGGCTTTGCGCACCTGCACGGCTGTCACTCTCACGCAACAGTGAAGTCTCCGTCTCCCGGCCCCCGACTCCACCCCCGCCAAACCTCCGGCCGGCTGTCCGTCCGCCGCGCCTGACGCGTTCTCCCGCGGCCGGTCCTCTCCTGCAGGAGTGACAAGGTCAGAGAGACAGTGTGAGAGACCCTCACCCACATGGGCAGGTTTAACACAGGACCAAGAGCACAAACTCTACAGAACCCGCCCACATTCACACAGTGAACACACTGTCACACAGCGGAGAACCTCCTGTTCAGACGCTCCTGCATGCTGCACTTTAGATAAGATCTCTCCCGTCCGTGTGTCCTTTGGAAAAGACCCTAAAAATAGCAGAGAGAAATCAATTGGACCTTTCAGTAAAATATCTGGTGATCAAGTCCGGCACTCTGCAGGCAGGAGAGGACAGAAAGGACAGGAGCCAGCAGAGAACCTGAGCTACCTTCACAGATACTCACTTTCATTCACTCTACTGACTCCTGTATTACATACCTGACACTCGGATAAATCTGACTAAGGGTTCTACTCTGGGATTTTACGTTAGTCCAGTGGGATTTCATAATCAGGCTGATAAAAATAATACAGTTTATTTATGTAGCTCACTTTCATGACAGCATCAACTCAAGGCGCTTTACAGAAAACAAAGAAAACAAAAGGAATTCATAAAAACACGTCTAAAAAGAAAACTTTTTAAATGATCCAGAATTTCGTAGACACTCAGGGAGCTCCTTCCGTAACACACTAAAAGCACAGTCGTGTTCTGGAGCAGAACTCTGAATGTAGAACTTACAGCAGATTTGAGGGCCCAGACCTGAAACTGTAGCGTGAATCTGAGGAAGTAAAACATCCTTCAATTATACAGGAGCCTGAGCGTCTAAACATTAATAAACCAAAAGAAACTTTTTAAAATTCTCTCTCTAATGCAGGGATGCCTTTGCTGTGCGCCCGTCCCCTGGGCCCTGATGATGGCCGCGAGAGCCGGCAGGAAGACAGGGCCCGAACCCCGAGTGAAGACCAAGCCCACGAGAAGAACCGAGTTGGGGGTGACTCACGATTCCCGAGCCCCACCTCCCAAGCCCTGCCTCCGGTCCCGTGGTGCGGCCACTTTAATTTGCCTCAGGTTCGCTCCCGGTGGCCGAGCCGGAGAGCGGGAGCAGTGATGGAAGTGGAGCAACAAGCTCTGGTTCCCTCTCGGCTCAGGAGCTCACGCTGCCCTTAATGAGCCGGCCGATGCTGAAAGTCTCGTTTTGCAACCACTGAAAGTGACCAGCTTTGGTTCTGTTTCAGCTTCATTTGTGTTTGGTGTGATAACACACCTGATCCAGGTACTGAAGGTCTTCAGGGACGTCTGAGTATTAGAGCCAGGTGTGCTGGATCTGAACTCTTCAGAGCCGCAGATGTCCAGGACCAGGACCGGGCAGCCCTGCTCTAATGGGTCACCAATCAAAGACTCTAAAACTGGAGGGATGTGAGAAAGGGATGTCTGTCTATCTGTCTGTCTGTCTATCTATCTATCTCTCTATCTGTGTATTTATCTGTCTATCTATCTATCTATCTATCCATCTCTCTATCTATCTCTCTATCTGTGTATTTATCTGTCTATCTGTCTGTCTATCTATCTCTCTATCCATCTATCTATCTGTCTATCTATCTCTTTATCCATCTATCTGTCTCTATCTATCTATCTGTGCATTTATCTGTCTATCTATCTATCTATCTGTCTGTCTGTCTATCTATCTCTCTCAATCTATCTATCTATCTATCTGTCTGTCTGTCTGTCTCTCTGTCTGTCTCTCTCTCAATCTATCTATCTATCTGTGTATTTATCTGTCTATCTATCTATCTATCTATCCATATTTATCTGTCTATCTATCTATCTATCTATCTATCTATCTATCTATCTATCTGTCCATCTATCTGTCCATCTATCTATCTATCTGTCTGTCTATCTATCTATCCATATATCTATTTGTCTGTCTGTCTGTCTATCTATCTATCTATCTGTCTGTCTGTCTATCTATCTATCCATCTCTCTATCTATCTATCTCTCTATCCATCTATCTGTCTCTATCTATCTGTGCATCTATCTGTCCATCTATCTATCTATCTATCTATCTATCTATCTATATTTATCTGTCCATCTATCTGTCCATCTATCTATCTATCTATCTGTCTGTCTATCTATCTATCCATATATCTATTTGTCTGTCTCTGTCTGTCTGTCTATCTATCTATCTGTCTGTCTATCTATCTATCTATCCATCTCTCTATCTTTCTATCTGTGTATTTATCTGTCTATCTGTCTGTCAATCTATCTGTCTCTCAATCTATCTATCTGTCTGTCTCTGTCTGTCTGTCTATCTATCTATCTATCTATCTATCTATCTGTCTATCTGTCTCTCAATCTATCTATCTATCTGTCTGTCTCTGTCTGTCTGTCTATCTATCTATCTATCTATCTGTCTATCTATCTATCTGTCTGTCTCTCTGTCTTTCTATCTATCTATGTATCTATCTATCTATCTATCTATCTATCTATCTATCTATCTGTCTGTCTCTGTCTGTCTGTCTGTCTATCTATCTATCTATCTGTCTATCTATCTATCTATCTATCTGTCTCTCTGTCTTTCTATCTATCTATGTATCTATCTATCTATCTGTCTGTCTGTCTGTCTGTCTGTCTATGTATCTGCCGTGTGTCCTCCTCCTCTTCAGCGTCTAAGACGATGCTGAACTGATGTTCAGTGTTTACGCTGGTTAAGCTGCAGCTGAAATGCATTTTGGTGATATGACTGGTGTGGAATTATGTAGAACTGAGGTGTAACCGCTGTCCCACAGACTGTTGTTGGGGTAGGTGAGTCAGAGCACGTTATGTTGCAGTGCATGCTGGGGACTGTAGTGCAGCACATTGTGAAACAGGCTAATATTAATAAATTAAAATACTTTTGTGGGCTGTACAGGATTGTTTTGCGGGCCTGATCTGGCTTTGTGTTTGACACATGGGTGTTAGTGTAACAATAAGCTTTATAAATACATCTTAAAATATCAATTGGCTAATAAAGCACTGATCCTTCCGCCTCCGTGTGGTGGTACTACTGTTAAACCCAAAATACTGTGATGTCGATTTTAGTCTCACTTTATGTGGACAGGTTTTAAACAGATTATCTAAAGATATTCAACTTATTAATAAACTGTCTGTTGGAAGTCAGTTGTTTCTTAACAGTGTTAGGGTTGGACTTCAGAAGATCAGTACCAGGGTTAGGATCAATTAATGTAACATAAATTAATTGTATTTAAAGTGTTATCTCGATTTTGTTTCGTTTTAGTCTACCAGTGCCGATATAAATATTAAACCAGGAGCTCTGCTGCTCTAACTAGCAGGGAGGACCCTGAGAATACGTGTCCTCTGCCTTTCCCCAGAGGTGCCGTCCAGCGTGCAGTTAGCACTAAATGCTTTATGATGTCTAAATTAGCCTCTGGTGTTCAGGCCAAACCTCATTACTGCATTGTTGATGTTTTATTGAACAATGTGTCCAACCACTCGGGACAGGACGTCCGGCGGGTGCGCATGCTGTGCGAAACACTCCACAGCATTACTATGACTAATATAATGAAAAGCGTGCAGTTCTACACTCACACCTCTGTAAGTGCGCATTGTTTGTTGTTTGCTTGCTCACCTACGAAGATAAAAATCCAGTTTGATTCTGGTTGTAAATCATAAACTTTTCCATCAAAACATGTTCTGTCAATGTTATAGATGAAAAATATGGCACTGTACAAAAAATGAGGAACCATCAGAACTGAAATCTGAAAGAGATTGTGTGTCATGGTTACTGTGATAGGGGGTGAGATGTGGTGCACAGTAAACAATCCTAAGCACACAGTTATCAAATTAACTTGGACACTGTTGGCTCTGTGTTGAGCTGCTAGAGAGCAATGAGGGCTGAACGGGGAGGTTAATAACAGGCCACATGGATGATTTTAGCTGAAGACAAGATGAAAAGCAAAGCAATTTCATCAGAATGTGTGTTTACTTCATTAGCATAAGTGAACTAATGCATAACACTACATCACTTCACTCTACACTGCAGGGAAACTGATTTCCTGATTGTTATGGATGTTCTGGTGAACTGTGCGTCCGGATGCTGAGAGGCTTTTCACAGTGACGTTTGTCTTGTCTAAAAACATCATGTGCCTTTTTATATTCTGCAGCCTTATTTATTTTTCCGTGTTTCATAATCTCTGTCCTGACTTGGCCCTGCGCCACCTTTCACACTGATATCTGCTGTCTGAGGCAAAAAGACGAGTGGCTGGATTATTTATACACTCGTCAAGACACTCAGACTCAAATCTGCTCCACAGAATATAGAGACGGACTTTCGTCTTTGGTTCACCTCCAGACCTGTTCTGTTTGGGCCTCCCGAGCCTCCGTCCGTCTCTCTCGTCCCCCAGATCCACACCGCAGCTTAGCTAAATCTTCCAAACATGCTGGCAGGCCTGACCACTCCATCCCTGAGGGGAGCAGCACAGAGCTAAGCACTTTTTAGGCTGAACAAAACAACTGAAACTACATCCTCTGACTTCCCCACTCACAGCCTCCGCCTTCGCCCAGCGCTGAACCACACATGAATAAAACATGTTCCGAGGCAGTCTGCTCCGGAAAGGAACCGTGAACGATGCTGGAACGTGTGAACAGTCTGCATATGGTTTGGTAGCAGAGCTCAGATGAGAAGAGCCAGTGAAGAGTTCGCCAAGTGCCTAATAAGAGCTCCTCGAGGGCCGAGGCTGGGGTCAGTGAGTGTTTTACAGTGCTGAAATGACTGAGTACAGCGTAGTGAACCCTTGACTGAAGACCCAGCACAATGAACAGGGTCTGCGGGAGAATGCCACTGATCCACCGACGGAAAAAAGACTGTAGCGATGTTTATCTGCAATGTCTTTCAAATAAACAAATAAATAAAAGATCAGATCTAGTACTGACAAACTCACTCACTAGAAAACAAACCCAACTCCAGCTCTATGTTGTGCACAAAAATCGGCTCGAAACCCAATATTTTATCAGCTCAGTCAGCTCTGAAATGTTTACCAGATCACCCAGAAAGAATGGCCT